ACTTTTCATTTTTAACTGGTATGTTCAAAAATTTCCAAGTTATCAAACTCATGGTGTATGCTTCAATATGTATCTTGCATCAATAAGAGGGAAATAGTGCATTGTATTAGAGTATTGAAAGAACAATTGCAAATTTTGTATGATTTAAGAATCCAACTTCAATGGAGTAAAGACAACATACATGCAGTGCCATGATTGAATAAATATATACATATATAAGCACACACACACAGCTATAACTTGAGTCAAATTAACTAAATTGATTGACTAAACTACAGATCTTAAAGAAGAAAAAAGTAGGTTTAGTGTAGCTTGTTTTACATAACAATATTTTGTTACAATATGCAATGCACTATCTCTTGCTTCTAGCATTGTATTTTTATACCAAATTCGCAATATCTGAATGTTTTGGTTTTACTTTGCATGACGTACTAAATTTTATCTTAAAGTGTTTTTATTTACAATGATAAAAGGATAAAAATTATAATGACAATAAACGGTTTTAGTTGAACGGAATCTGCTATTTAACTCAGAATAATAGAGATTTAAAATTTTATAGTATTCACTTGTAAAATTTTTCTAAAACAGTGAAATGAGGTTAGACTGTGAAATGAAGTTACAAAACATCATGAAAAAACTGAAATGGTTGCATCTGAAGTCTCCTGTAGTAATAATTAAGTAAATACAATGAAAATCACTCAAGAAACCAAAAAAAAAAAGGTAAAATTACAACATACTGAGCTAATGTTGTTTTTATAACTTTAATTCCATTTTGTATTTTTAGAATTGGGTCTTTAGAATCAAGTGCACCAGTGCAGTACGTTTGTTTATCCATTTTATTATCAAATTCCAGATTCAACTTCTTCAACCATCATTCAAATACTGTAATTATAACATTTCTGTTCATTTTACTGTAACATCAGTCATAGTGGGATTTCCACACACAGTTCAAAAATGGACCTTTCCAAAATCACTTGTAATTTTTTTTCTCAAAATTTACTTTTTAGATTTTAAAAATATCTTGTAAAATCTAATGAATAAAATGAAACGGTTTTATACAGTAACAACTATATTAACATCGTGAATAAAAAAAATTGAGTAAAAGTGTAAAAGTAAAAAAAATACTGAGAATATGCTGCTTTATAAATTTCAATTCCATGTTTTATTTCAGGAATTAGTTCTTTAGAAATAAGTGCACCAGTGCAGCACTGTTGTTTATCCATTTTGTTATCAAAGACCTAATCCAACTTCTTCAGCAATCATTCAAGTATTGTAATTAAAACATTTATACACGTTACACTGTAACCTTAGTCATAATACAGCTATAAACATGTAGACACTTATTTATTTATTTATTTATTTACTTAGCTATTTATCTATCTATCTTTTCCAGAGTATTATCGCAATGGTTTACCATTCTAGTCACAACCTCGTAAACAGTCATGCGATAAAAGTTACTGTACTTGTGAATAAAATACAGACTTGCAATTTGTGAGAACAGTTTCTTCACATTACTTTCTGAAGTTTTCTTTACAGAATATCAATAACCACAACAATATCAGAGATAAATTTTGAGACGTACAAGACTACAATATAAATCATACTTATGTGTGTAGAATATATATGTGATATTTTAGTTTCTTCTACTGTGTTAGTAGGCGAAGATCACATCGTAATCATCTATCATTCATTCCCCATCCTAGAGCACCAGGGCTGGAAATATTTCGCTCATCTCTGATCTCTTGAGAGCAGGACCATGCAAACCTGCATCAATATCCCATAATCCGGCAGGCGGCGTTGGAGACGAACGCTGTACCCAACGCACAATTTTCTCGTGAGCAACAGCCAAGCTTGCACTGCAATGTTGAAATACACAGGCAGTGGCTTCGAACAGGTCCACCGCACATCGGCTACAGATCGCAACCACTTCTAGTGACCAACCTCCATAGTGAGGGACTTGCTCAGTTGTCATAGCCGCATCCACATCAAATACACGTTCTCTATTGTGCAAGTTGACAGGATCCGTCATGCTTCAGAAGCAAACGAAATTGAACTCAAACCTCGTCGTGGTGAGCTCTTCCAACACATGTCCATGGAGCCTGTCAATCAAAACCTTGTGTGTAGATCAACCACACGTATATGTAACGACACGAGGAACGTCATATGAGCTAGCCATGAGGTGCTCGCACAAATCAAAAGACGACATTCACAAAGTCAGAAGTGTAAACCTCCGTGGAATGATACAATCTACAGACGAAGTACACCCACAAGTATCACTCGCATTGGGAAAATCTACAACAGCCCAGAAAGTTCGGCAAGCAAACGGTAGAAGCGTTGGACAGGAAACTCAGCTTGCAGAGGCATGAGAACTGATCGCCGTTCAGACGGTCACAGATCGTCAACTGCAAACTCTGGATCCAAACAACGACACCCACAAACAACGAACAATCCAGTCACGTCATAATTCACACACCTACTGGAAAGATACAAAGCTCATGACGCACCGTCGTCTTGGTCACGATCAGTGCAGCGCCACCAGAGTCGAAGACACCTTAGAAATGGAGAGACCTTGGAGTGCTAGTACCCCAAGTGAGCAAATACAATGGTCGCAAATACAATAGGGGCAAAGTTTAAACTTTTCATCACCGTGACTGCATTATTGCCCTGGGTTTACTGTTTGAAAGCCTGGAGCTTACTGTCATTTGATTTACTGTTTGCAGAGATCAAGCAGCGCAACCGGTGTATAAACCCATCGCCACGTAACATTGATCTCTCCCAGTTTGGAGACTAGAACCTGGAAGAAGAGCTACAATTAGAAACATTTTAATACTCCATAGATCTTTACTTTTCCTCCCTGACGATCATGAAAGCATCCAAATCATTTCATTAAACTGTCGGTATTCTATCCCAAAATTATTATTGCGTAAACGTGTGAATGTCAACTTGTGCAATGCAACGGTTTACATTTGAATATGGAATTAAAAATATGTAGTTTTCTTAAACAGTCGGCACTGTAAACCACGTGTATTTGCAATGACCATCATGTTTAAGTGACTTTAACATGACATATGGACATATTTTGAAGTTGATTAGTTTGTGAATATAAAATATGATATGACTTTCAACTTTTTTTAAAAGATTGCATCAAACATGTTTCAATTTAAAAATAAAAATAAAGTAAGGCATAATGAAATTAGAAATTATTCTGTATTATTTTGTAGTATTGAATAATCTCATGATAATAAAAATGCTAGAATTTGAAGAAACAAAGTTTGTGGTTGTTTATTTTTTTGCAAATATTGGTAGTAATAAATGATTAATTTCACAAACTTATAAAAAATTTACCTTTGTGTACAAGATTTATTATTGTACCACACATCAAAATCATATGATTTATGTAATTGTATTTCATGGTTTTGTTTTATTTTATTTGAATAGTGTAATTATGATATTTTTAAATATGTATTATTACAGACATGGTGATTTTCATGTGTTTGATTTTAAATTTTTATTTTATACATTTTATCAATAAAATATTTTTGTAGAATTCTTGATTATATTGTTTGCATATTCTTCAGTATTATATATTATTAACTTGCTTAAACATGTTACATATGTAGCAAAAGAGGGACCTCTAATATTAGTACATATATTCATATAAAAGTGCAATATTGAAACACAAAATTATTTATTATTTTTCAAAGCACAATTCAAATTTTATATACATTTGATTTCTATTAATTTCTCAATTTACTTGTAAAGTTATATTCTTTTGCACTATGGATATGGATATATATATATATATATATATATACACACACATATATACATATACAACATAATTAACATGAGTTCCTAAAGCTCTCTTTTATATTTTTGAAATGCTTCAAGGTAGATTTGGTTTCTATGCACACATGAAATAGTAAACTTACAAAAGAACAACAGACTTACTTTACAATTATATAATGTTAGTTTTGTTATTAAAATGGATAGCACTATATGTTGCATTACAAATTTTTCATTAAACTGCAAAAGAAAACCTAATATAAAATATTTTTTTTATTTTGAAAATTTGGTCAAAATCCCATTTTTACTCATACTTCTAATATAAAATAACATATACATCTTTTTAAAAAAGCACCACAGTGGCACGTACAAAAAGAATCAAATTTAAATAAACATATAAAATTACACGTAATTAAACACTGCCTCTATCAACGTTGTTTAATATTTTGATACCAAATGTGGTCACTACAACAATTACCCCTTTTGTTTATATTCTTAAGTGGGCCATTCATAATTTTTACTTAAGATTCTATGGCATTGATTTGTGAAAATCTTTCCGTAAAAAAATTAAGAATAAACATAGTGGCGTAAATCACCTAAGAAATAAATTGGACTTCATATTATTTTTTTTAAAAAAAAACTTCATATTGTCTATGTTTTTATCAATTACATGTTACTATCAAAGCACATGTCGTGTTACATCTTTCTTATAATTCATGTCAAGATACTTCTAATCTAATCACTACCTTGATGAAAATTCCAAATTTAATTCTTTCATTGAATTGAGTTGGTTACAATCTAAGATTTTCCCTCAATACAAAAAATCAATTTCTTAAGAAAATTGTCAATCTTCAACTAACTTCAAAATACGTGTCAATCTTTTGTATATACATGTATTTAATTTAATATAAAATAAAGTAAACTATTTATATTAAGAATTTTAATAAAATTTATTTTTAAAAAATCCAAATTTTCAAAAGATAAAATATAAAATTTGAAGGAATGTTTAAGTATCATAATTTATCCACTCAACGTTAAATATGTTTTGGGTTTTCTTATTACTCCCCACAAGCTCTGATTTTCACTTTGCTATTATTCTTACAGGCTTATTGTTGAAATTATAACGGATGATAAATAAAGGATGAGAAACGACCCGTTCATCCGCCGCGGGGCTCCAAGGTGCCGCGGCGAGTGCCGGCGGGCGGAGACCTGCTTTTCAAACTCATTCCGGGGCTGTGCACGCCTCGTCCTCTCCGCCCAGTCTGTTTGTCCTTCTTCTTCTGTGATTGAGTGAGTAAGTGATTGACCTGCTTGGCCGACTGTTGCGAGTATCACGGATTCCTGAAACTGGAGTTCTAGCGCTTTTTGAATCTTGCCTTGGAGATCTAGTTTGGAGTTCTATTGGAGCTGCGGCAATGTAGAGCGGGTGTTGTCCGCATGTTTTAGGTTTTTTTTGACTTGGGAGAGCCGTGGCGACCACATCCCGTGATGCTTTTGCTCTGGATTTCGGTGACCAGGTTGTGATATTCTAGGAGTTTCTTGGTGGGTATGGAAGGACTGGCGCCATGCTTGCAGTATCTGGAGCCATCGGGGGGGTTTTGGAGACGCTAGGGTTTTGTTGAGTTCATGGAAGGCTGGTGAATTTTCCCTGAAAAGGCAAGCGGCGGGGAGATTTAGGAGCGATGGCGTGCGTGTACATTCCGGTGCAGAACACTTCCGAAGAGGTTAGGGTAGCGTTAGAGCGTCTGCCAGCAGATGCAACAGATATATTAGATATTCTCAAAGCTGAACAGGCTCCTCTTAATCTCTGGCTCACCTTCGCTCGTGAGTACTTCAAGCAGGGGAAAGTCGCAGAGTTTTTGCAGATTTTGGAAGAAGGTTCGAGCCCCGAGATTGACGAGTACTATAGCGATGTCAAGTATGATCGTATTGCAATTCTGAATGCTCTGGGAGCATACTACACAAATTTGGGGAGAGTGGAGTCAAAGCAAAGGGAGAAGGATGAACATTTTATCCGGGCTACTCAATATTACAACAAGGCATCGAGAATTGATCAGGATGAGGCCTCTACTTGGGTGGGCAAAGGGCAATTACTTGTGGCGAAGGGCGAGCTTGAACAGGCACAAGAGGTGTTCAAGATCGTTCTTGATGGGCAGAGGGACAATGTGGCAGCATTGTTAGGTCAAGCGTGTGTACAATTTAATAGTGGGCGGTTTCAGGAGGCCCTAAAGTTGTACAAGAAAGCGTTGCAGATTCATCCGCAGTGTCCAGCTTCGGTTAGGCTGGGGTTAGGGCTTTGTCGTGCGCGTCTTGGAGAGTTTAAGAAAGCCCAGCAGGCTTTTGATCGCGTGCTGCAACTTGATGGGAATAATGTTGAAGCTTTGGTTGGGTCTGGAATTATAGACCTGAACTCTGGTGATGAGAACCGGGTTCAAGCAGGTTTGGAAAAGATGTTGGCAGCTTTTGAGATTTACCCCTATTGTTCCATGGCTTTGAATCATTTGGCTTGCCATTATTTTTTCTTAGACCAGCATCCTATGGTGGAACAGCTCACGGAGGCAGCTTTGGCTGCAACAGACCACGTCCTTATTAAAGCACAGTCCTATTACAATCTCGCACGATCTTATCACACTCGAGAGGATTATGACATGGCAGCTCGGTATTATAGAGCATCTACTGCGGAATTGAAGAATCCCAAAGACTTCATTTTACCTTACTACGGATTAGGGCAGGTGCATCTGAAACTTGGAGACTGGAAAGCGGCATTGGCAAGTTTTGAAAAGGTGTTGGAACTTTATCCAGATAACTGTGAGACGTTGAAAGCAGTAGGGCACATTCTAGGGCATCAAGGGCGGAAAGAGAAAGCCTTGGAGCACTTCAAAAAAGCCACCAGGATGAATCCTAAAGATGTTGATGCCTGGTTGGAGATGGGTGAGCTTCTTGTCTCCTCCGACTTTGCAGCTGCACTTGACTCGTTCCAGACGGCTCACACTCTCTTGAAGAGGAGCCAAGAGGTTGTTCCATTAGCGCTTTTGAACAACATCGGTGTTCTTCATTTTGAAAAGGACGAACTGGAGTCTGCAAGGAAAGCATATAAACAGGCTCTTGGGGAAGGTATCTGGACCGAATACAGTGAAGGCCATCGTAGCGTGGATGTGTCTCCCATTGAAGATAACGAGCTTTTCCGCAGCTTAGAGGATAAAGGGATTTCGCTTGATATTCCAGCTGAGAAAGTGACAGTTTTATTCAACTTAGCGAGACTTCATGAGCAGCTTCATGAGACTGGCAAGGCCTCTGTCTTGTACCGACTCATCCTTTACAAGCACCCTGAGTACGAGGATGCATATCTCCGGCTTGGAGCTTTGTCTTTAGCCCGAAGTAACATCAGTACAAGTTTAGAACTTGTAAATAAGGCACTGGAGGCGAATGACAAAAATGTGGAAGCGCTGTCGGTGCGCGGGAATTTGGAAGTGAAAACAGATGACTGGCTCAAAGCAAAGGATACGTTTAAAAGCATTCTTGAGATTAAAGATGGCAACGACAATTATGCCATGCTGGCGCTTGGGAATTGGAATTACTATGCGGCAACCAGAGGAGAGAAGAAGGTGCCTAAACTGGAGGCTACTCATCTGGAAAAAGCTCGAGATCTGTATCAGAAAGTGCTGGGACTGCAAATCAACAACATGTATGCTGCTAATGGCATTGGGGTTGTCTTAGCAGAAAAAGGATTGTTTGATATATCTAAGGATATCTTCACGCAAGTGCAGGAGGCAGCTACTGGTAACCTTGCCGTGGATATGCCTGACGTTTGGATTAATCTGGGGCACATTTATCTTGCTCAGGGCCAGTTTGGTCTTGCAGTGAAAATGTACCTAAACTGCCTCAAAAGGTTTTATCACAACACCGATCACCAGATCCTTTTGTATTTGGCCCGTTGTCATTATGAGGCAGAACAATGGCAAGAGTGCAAGCGGGTGTTGCTACGAGCCATTCATCTGGCTCCCTCAAATTACATGTTGCGATTCGATGTTGCTATTGCTATGCAGAAATTCTCTACAGCAACTCTTCAGAAGGCCAAGCGAACGGCCGATGAAGTGCGTCAGGCAGTATTTGAGTTGAAAAATGCATTAAGGCTTTTTGGTCAGCTGGCAGGCGTCAAAGATAAACAGGTACATGGATTTGATGAGAAGAAATTGGATATGCATGGTGAGTACTGCAAACACCTTCTTGATGCTGCGAAAGTGCACCTTGAAGCGGCTGAACGTGAGGAACAGCAGTTGCGACAGAAGCAAGAAGTGGCTCGTCAGCTTGCTATGGCTCAGGAGGCGCGACGTAAAGCTGAGGAAGAGCGCAGGCTCCAGCTAGAAAAGAGACGGCGGGATGCAGAGCAGCGCATCGCATTGCAATTAGAAGATAAACTGCAGCAAACCAAGGCCCTCTGGAACAAGAAAACCCATGCAGTAATAACTGACGATGGGGAGGATGGGGACAAGCCAGAAAAGAAGCCAAAGAAGAGGAGGAAGAAAGAAAAGAAGTCAACTGCCCCTGATTCAGACGGAGAGGAGGGTCGCTATAGCCCGCGGCATTCTGATGATGATGTTGAGGATGTTCCTACCAGATCTCAGGGAAAGAAGAAAAGACGGAGGCGGGCTGTATCTGACTCTGAAGAGGAGGGCGAGATGACACCAGCAGGAAGTCCTGTACAATATGTCGATCAGCCTTCCGACCCTGAAGACGATTAAAAATTCAAACGAACACCAAGGAGGAATTTGAGGACAGATCTTGAGCCGAGGACTGGACTGGACGAAGCGCCGTTTGGAACAACTTTGTTCCGTTGTGTAAATAGAGCAGGATCATGAATCTTGCCTCAGCTGGTTCTATTCCAGAGAGAGAAAGATGTGCGTGACATGAGGTAGATAGCAGGGAAGTCTTCGGGCTAGTCTGTTGAGTATCAAGACTCTCATCCAGTGAGTAATTGATCAGTGCGTTCCAGTAGCAAGGACGTCATTCTTTTGTAAATTTGTCCACATCTACCTTCAGTGAATGCTTTCTATAATCTGATTTCCCAATTTGCACAGTAGCTGCCTAAATGTTGCATTTTGTATCTCAGATTGAGAGTCAAGTGCACAGCTGAACCCGCCCGAGCTGTAACCGATCGGTGCATTCAAGTAGCAAATTGTATTGGTGGTTCTCCACATCCGATTTTTGGCTTATGAAATTTAACTGCAGGATTAACCGGCATTTCGATTAATCATGAAACCTCTTAGAGCAGATTTTTGTAATTGGGGCTGCGTCCCTCAGGATTCTGGAAACTTCATGGGTGTTTGTTCAACTTGTAAGAATCATCTCGAAGAGCCAGTTGTGCAAATGCTGGCAGCTTAGTCTTCTGAGCTGGAATTCCTACCTCGTGCAGGTGGATCAATCTGTAATGTTAGATGGTTTAGAACGTAATGTACGAGCGACACTTGATGATTATTACCCGTTTGAAGATGAAATTAGATGGGGCTAGCAATTGTATAACTTTTTTAAGAAAGTTACCTGAAATGCCAATTTAGCTGCTCTCTCTCTCTCTCTCTCTCTCTCTCTCTCTCGCTGCTTATATCTATATATATATGTATATATATATATATATATATATATGTGTGTGTGTGTGTGTGTGCAGAAAGAAAAAGAGAGGGAAGTTAATTGGAAAGGAAGTGTAGGTGTTCAGATGCCAAGGTTTTGCCAGAGTTGTAGGCCCACTTCCTGCACAGGATTATGAAATGGAGAGATTAGCCCATACTGATGAGTGGTCCTATTGTGCAATCCTGAATCTGAATCTTAAATCATGCTATCCAGGTGTCCATGGGTGAGCGGTCTCCGAGACCCCTGTCATTAAGGAACTAAATTGAGCTGGCAAATTCAACCCGTCGTTGTGTGGCGGTTTGAACACCTGGCCATAGTGTTCTTCGAGTTTGGAGTTTTTCGTGCCTAGACAACCCTATTCAGATCAGGCTTGGGGTTTTTATCCACAAAGTGGGGCAGGTAAGTGTCTTCATGTCAGCACTGCACCCTTATCCAATCGACCATTGACCTGTGACAAGCTCATGAGGAGTCAGTTTGTGGGCTCAAAGTGGAACTAAACCTAAATCTAATCCGGTAGGATAGGGCCCGCTTCAATTTACTGCGAACTCTCATACTTAATAGACAGAATGGGGTGGGGCAGAGTGTTAGCAGTCTTGGTATAGTGGGCCAACATGCAAAGGAGTTTCTTAGTGATTTATTCTTCCCTCTATTCTCATCTACTTTTGGGTCATAGTGCAAGAGAACCCTTCAAAAAATATTCAATCTTGTACCTCATTCAGTTTAAAGAAGACTTCCTTGATCCACTATTTTTTAGTTTACCTCGAGAGTCTGTTATTATTATTATTATTATTATGTATAGATGTATTATTTCCCTGTTTCCGTTCAGGCCGGCTGACAACCAATGATTCTGGCTCTTTCTAAATAAAGTTTAAACATTGATGACTCTTTTTGGGATATCATAGTTAGGACGAATGTGGTAGAGTTCTGACTCTTATTACATAGTTTTAATTTCGAAGAAACAAAATGACGACTCTTTGGTAGTTATGATTTTTTATACCCATGTCGAAATAACAAAAAAATCAAACATTTTTCATTAAAAACGACAAGGGTTTCAAAAACGAACTATATCTTGAAACCCCCAAAATCTGACAATCTTTTTTGTAAAAAACCCACATTTTTTTTAATCCCCAAATTCGAACATTCGGACATAACCCATGTGCACTTTCAGAATCAAGGATTTTACATGATCACAAGCAACAACAACTACAACAAATTGAAGAGGTAGGGGCTATGCACTTGGACCGATTAGCGAAGCCTGCTTGCAGGGCACGGTGGGTAGGGTGGCTGTGGAGGTGGGGCGCAACGGAGCGCGGACTGCGTTATCCTCGAAGAAGAAGCGATGGCGACGAAACGGCGATGGCGAAGCCGGGTCTAGTGGAGAAGAAGAAACGACAAAGACGAACTGTAAGACTTGTAGTGTGGGAAGGGCGGCTGACTGGCTGGCCGAATGGGGTCCCGGAGTTGGGTCGATCCTTCATGGCGTTCATGAGTGAGACTCTCACCGTCGATTTCCATTGCTGCTGCTGCTGGTGCTGCTCTCCGCTGGGTCACAGTCCACGTTGTTTCTTTGTCGGAAAGGGGGGGTCGAGGAATCGGTGCTAGGCGACTGTGAGCGCTGTCCGTCGTCATCAACCTCTGGGGAGGCTGCAACTGGATGGAACCTGCTGAATTGTGTTTTTTGGCGTCGAGGTTATATCCTCATGGCATGGATTCTGGGGAGGATGGGTTCCTGGAAGTTCTGAGAGCGATTTAAGGAAGTTTGGAGCTGCTGCAGGTGTGGGAAGCGTTTTCGTGGGGTTTCGGAATTAATTTGTTAGCGTAGGTTTGCTGACTAGGTTGCCTTCGTGGTTTGTTGTTGGGTGCTGAAAGTTTTGACCCAGGGAATGACAACTTTGTTGAGAAAGCAATTTGCTTCTTGATTGTTGAACCCCGAGTATCGTACGTAGTGTTTAGGTCTGGTATTTTGAAGAGGCGAAGAGGAAGTGGTGTTGCTGCTGGGGGAACATTTTTATATTTTCAAGATGGTGAGGGAAAGTACGGCATTGGTGGCGACCAAATGGGTAGGTTTAGTTGCAGGTATGTGGGTGCAAGCTTCGGCTGGAAACGCTTACATGTTCTCATTTTACTCTCCAACTCTTAAGTCCGTGCTTAACTACAACCAGCTACAGCTGAACAACTTGGGTGTGGCCAAAGACATCGGTGAAAACGTGGGTCTCCTCGCTGGCCTCCTCTGCAACAAGGTTCCTGCATGGACCCTCTTGTTCATCGGAGCTCTCTCTGGATTCTTTGGTTATGGCACTATGTGGCTTGTCGTGAGCGAGCAGATTCCGCCATTACCATACTGGCAGGTTAGTAAAACCCAAAAAGTCCTCGTTCTGTTGAGCTTCTCCTGTTCCTCTGACGTTCCAACGTCTAGATGCTTGTTAATTCTTAGACTCACGGTGAGCAGGGTTTCACAATTTTCAGTTTTCATTTGTGAACCTGTCTACTAAGACGTTTTTTGCTCCCTCACAATACAACCGCGGGGCTCGGTTGAGAATGCACGGTAATTGGTTGGATCTACGACGAATCATTTTACGTTTCTTTTTTAGTTCTCTGCAATTTCATTACTCTAACACAGCTTTCGTACGAAAAGTCATGGATCGCAACCCGATCGTTCCAACACCAGTTTTCATGATCGTTCACAGGGAATCTACTTTACTTGTTAATGGAAATCCCTCACCTGCAAATCAGTTATAAGTAAATTGTATTTTAATTGCCAATGTGGTATCGATATCTTCCTCACTCTACACAGGCTCTGTAATCCATTGAAATTTTCTCAGTAAATTTCTTTTGTTCGTGGACCAATTCTTGCTGTGACCAGCTTTAGAATTTAGTGAATTTTCACTCATATGACTGTCGTTCTCCTAAATGCAGATGTGTGTTATTCAGTGCATTGGCAGCAATTCGACGACATGGTTCAACACAGCGGTCCTAGTCACATGCATGCGCAATTTTCCGCATTCCCGTGGCACCGTGGTTGGCATCCTCAAAGGTCTCGTGGCCCTCAGTGCGGCCATCTTTGCGCAAATCTACACATCTCTCTTAACAGACGATACCAACATGCTCCTACTCTTCCTCACACTGGTTCCCACGGTAGTGTGTCTTGGATCTATGGCATTTGTTCGGCCCGTACCTGCTGCTGGGAATGTTAGAGATCCGGAGGAAAGCCACTATTTTCACTACGTAACTGCTGTCTGTGTCGCACTGGCGGGTTATCTTCTTGCCGTCAACCTCACCGAAGAGTTTGTGAAAACCAATAGATTCACTGCTGTAATTTTCGCAGCTATCATGGTGATGTTCTTAATCGCTCCTCTTGCTATCCCCATCAAGACTCTTTCCGCGGAGTGCTGTGGAATCAGTCCAATTGGAGAGGACACACCCCAAGGTATCCAGAAGCCTCTTTTGAAGGAGACTAATGAGACGAATATTTCAAGCTCACACTCAGCTTTGATAATCAGAGGTGCAGACGAAGATGGTGCTTATGGGAGACCCGTTGAAGGAATTATGAGTCCTAGACAATCAAATCCTAGCGCCCTGCACCACGAAGAAAAAGGAAAAAAAGTGACACTTCACGAAGACATTGTGGCAAAATTATCGCAAGAGGAGGATGCAGAGACTCTTCTTGTTGTCGGAGAAGGTGCAGTGAAGAGACCTAAAAGAAAACCTAGGCGGGGAGAAGACTTTAATCTTAGACAAGCACTAGTAAAGGCAGATTTCTGGATCCTCTTTTTTACATTTTTCTGTGGAGTTGGGACCGGAGTAACCGCAATCAACAATCTAGGGCAGATTGCTGAGGCACAAGGGTACCACAACGTGAACATTTTTGTCTCTTTGATCAGTATTGCAAATTTTCTCGGACGTCTTGGAGGAGGCTCTTTGTCAGAGCACCACGTAAGGTATATGCCTTTTCGACATGCGCATCTTTCTAATCCATCCAAGCAGCAACGGTTTGCTAATCCTTGCTTCACAATATTCTCGATTCCTGCTCCAGAATTGATCAAATGGGTTATTGGTTGTGGGTATGCAGGAAAGATGCAGTTCCTAGGACCTTGTGGTTGGCTTTAGCTCAGATCACCCTCGTATTCGTGCACCTAATGTTTGCGTCTGCATTACCTGGCACGCTTTACGTTGGCTCTGTGCTGCTGGGATTGTGCTACGGCATTCATTTCTCCATTATGGTGCCCACAGCATCTGAGCTTTTTGGTCTCAAGCACTTCGGCATGATTTACAATTTTCTGACAATTGCTAGTCCCCTTGGTTCGTTTTTATTTTCTGGGCTGATTGCTGGGTACTTGTACGACATAGAAGCTGCCAAAGACTCGGGAGGAAGCCAACTCTTCGGAAAGGAAGTTTGTAATGGCGCTCATTGTTTCCGACTGACTTTCTATGTCATGGCAGCAGTGAGCGCTTCTGGGGCGCTAATGACAACTGTATTAACTTATAGGATAAGAAGTGTGTACTTTGCTCTGTACAGGAAATCTCCTCATCCTTCTGCTTCTGACCTGAAGTCGCTGGAATGAGACTGTCATTTTAGAGAACTTGAGCTCGTTGAGGGCATTTGTTTAGTCTCAAGGAAGCAAATCAATAGAGATATGGATACAAGGTTTTGAGCACGTTGTTGTGAAAGAGCTAGTTTTAGGGATAGGCTCCTGTTTAATGCACGTTGCTGAAAGTAACATGTTAGATCATAACATTCATCAAATGTATCGATTGTTTTCCCGTTTTCACTTGGTTAGACTTGCGAAAGGTTTCTCATGGTTTTTGGTTCTGCAGACTTACATACCCATTGGAGTGACATGATTGTACGATTGCATAATGAGTGCTTGTCGATCCGATCAATCATTTCAGTTCTGGGGACATGATGAAGTTTTTTAACCGACAGGTTTCATTTGATTTTAGTTAATGATGTCCTTTTGAAGTAACTGCCACTTAAGAAATGTTGTTGTCAGACTTGAACACCTTTGTCATTCTTTTGGGTAACAATTTCATTTATATTAAATAAATAAATTAGATCATGTTTGCAAGAAGAGACAAGAAACTGGACCAAACCATCGTGGACGAATCGAAACACTGAAGCAAGGTTCACTTGAGTTAGCTCTGACCCTGATTATTAGACGTTGAAATTTCCATAATGGTTTACATCCATCAGCTACCAAAAAAAGATTTTAGGTGTTACCAGTCCACAACATATCAGAGAGGCTCTTGATATGAGGTTCAGCTTTTGTTTAATCCCTCAATTTTGACCCTCTTGGCAAAGCGAGATATAAATGTTTTTAGAAGTTCAACTGGTAAATCCATAAAAGACTTCCATTAGAACTTCAAAAATGGAATTTGTTCAGTTACTCTTTCGCGGGGCATTGCAGCAACAAATCTAGGGAGAGTATGCTACCAATCGTCTCGAAAAATTCCGATTGTCCATAATACCTCCGGAAAACAACTGGCACATGGCTATTTTGTTTACAATGAGAAGAACGTTTTTGCAAATCCTGTCAAAATTAAAGAAAAAAGAAAAAGAAGAGCATTTTCTTTAACCAACACACATGTGAAGCACACTCTGAAATGTACATGAGCGCTGGAAACGCCACTTGCAATCGTTTCAATGGACAAAGAGGGAGCTCAGACTCAGCCTTGGGCAAACACTCACCTCCGTTGATAAGCAGCAGCAGCGTAACACAAAGCAGCTATGTAGTTTACATTGACATTACTAACACGAGAACAGAAATTGGAATTATCGCATAATCTTCTTAAGTCGAGAACAAGACGTCCCAGACCGTCGAGTAGGTACCGTACCATTGAAAACTAAAAAAAAGAAGGTTCATAATCAATAAATCCCACACTGGTTGCTTAATTTTTTTTCCCCTTAAAGTTTCAAAAAGATAAGCAATAGAAATTCAATCATAACACTTGCGCAAGAATTAGCCAAGTAGAGAAACAGAACGGGTTCACTGCCCTTCATAACCGAAATTCTACCCCAAAGATACCATGCTACTAGCAAAGAAGAGCCCGAAATTGGACATTACGCTCTTATTGAGGATAATCCTTCTATTGGCAACCTCAATGGCACCTGCTCTGTTCCAGAATTAAAAATCCCTGGATAACATCCAAGCCTTCAAGCACCTCTCCATCTCGTGTTCGAAAATTTCGGGTAATCAAAAAGAAATAAAAACAAAAATAAATTCTCAGGATTCAGAATGATAAGAATCTGACAATGATCACGGGGAAGCTACGCCAGTGGAGCCGTAGAATCGTGTTGGCCACTGACGGTTTGCCCTAGATCCACCACTTTGGGTGGCGTTAAAAAGAACAAAAATTTCCTCTCGGCAGGGGTGGACTTCTTTTTGTCTCGAGCATGTTGGCAAATGATTTGCACCGTCTTCCTCTCCCTCATCCACCGTAGCATCATCTTCATGTGCTGCTTGCTCTTCAGAGCATTACCCTCCATCTGCAACACAATACCAAAACCCCAATATTACTCATAACACCTCTCCCGATGTGGCAGAAAAAAATGGAACTTCTTCCAAGATAGAAATCAATGGCAGGGATCGTTACCTGAGCGGCATGATTCCAGCAATCGGTTACGGTGATCGGCCCGTGGTTCTCGAGGATTTTGTAAAGCGTCTGGGAGGCACTCTCCACATGCTCGCCCAAATTGTTCAGCTTCCCGGGGCGTAGGCCTGATGACCTCCTCGCCCACAACACAGCGGTGGTAAACATGGCTCCGACTTCCGACCCTGCACCTGCACAGCAACCTCCCTTAAACCCTAAACCCCATATCCCAACTCTTCTCCTGCCACCAGAAGCGCAGTGGTGTGCTCCCTGAAATCGAAACACGGCTTTCTCTCCTGCGGTTGGATGAGCGAGCGTCTCACGTTTCTCATCGACGTTTCCCGAATACCCGATTGCCTGAACTGCCGTTTCGGCATTATTCAATGACTGACTGCGACAGAAATCTTTATTAGCCCTTGCCCTACCACTATATTCAGAAAGTTCCAGTATTCGACATCGCATTAAATATTGGGTGTGCCATACCCCCAATGTTATTTTAGTTTAGTTTGTGTTGTGTTGTGTTTTTATTTTTCCTTCTGAAAAGAAAATTGAAAGAAATGAAAAATACCATCAGCACACTGTGTCACGTATCTTTACAGTAGTGAAATGGGATTCTTTCTTGTAGTCCGGAGAATGTGCTTGTACTTTTTACTTTATTTTTTATTGAACTCATTTTGGGGTTGTCGGACCTACAGTGTACTTAACTGATGTGAACAGTGCGTGATGCGAATGTTTATCATTGTTTTGAAGCAAAAGTACAATAAAAAGCTTTTAATATTCATATATTTAGTTTTTTATGATGAGCACCACTCGGTTTGACGTCGTCAACTTGATGGTCCTTCAAGGGTATCGTAGCATTCCGTCTCTTTCGCTATTGTTAAGTGTGGGTGGGATCATGACTTATATTCTCGATGCCAAGATTAACTGGTGAAGGAGCCTTATCAATTTCGCATGAACGTCTAGCTCCAAGCCGAGGACCAGGTGGAGGAGGTTTGACTAGTGCCGCTGGCAATCAAACCTGTTCTCCACTGCTTGTCGTGTACCAAAACATGCAACTCTCTAGTTCCTTTTCTTCTCACTATCTTTTCTTCATCAGAAATTTACATTGAACATCTTTCATTGTACAAAGTATCAAACTTCGCAGAAGAGAAGCATATATCTGTTCTTAAGTGGATCAACAAAGCTTAATACACTTTCGATGATACTAGAGGCACATGCACGATTGATGGGTCCTGGCTTAGTCTCTCCCTTACTGCTTGATGTAGATGCAGTTGGCGTTTTCAGAGGGGGTGTGACTTAGGAGGGGCACTGAAGTGGTACACCAAGTCTCGCCCTATTATGTACATAACTCAAGTATAACCTTCTAGACGCCATCTATCACAAGATGGCACTCAACAGATTCACGGCGTGCTGAGGAAGCGCTGCCGGAAAAAATTACATTTCATTGTATGAGTATCTATATTCACACGTCAAACCCGAGTCTACCGAATGAGTTGAATGATGGGTTAGCGGGAGAGGATAAATATTGAAATAGGTCGTCCGAAACCCAATTGCCATCCGACGATGTCCGAAGCAGAGGGCTTTGCAGAAGAGGGGGCGAACTCCAAATTTCAACATCCGGAAGAGGGAAGTTTGAAAACAGGACTTCTTCCGGACAAGCAACCTGTTCGGTACCCTGACTGACAATCATCCCAGTGCATTCCTGATCCACGAGATTAAACGTGTCTCTACTTGTCATGTGCTGACTAACATCGGGAAGAGACAAATCAGAGCAGGAATCGTAGTCTTGCATCTGCAGATCACCTTCAACTACACCAATCCTGGGAAAGGCCTCGAGGAGATTGCACATAGGTGTGGAAGAAAGAACATGCTGCTGCTGCACCGTGGAATTAAAAGGCATGGGAATGGAAATATCATACCCCGAGGTTTCATATGGAGCAGGAAGACCGCCGCCAATACTCATAGATGTGGATGGAGATGACACATTCGTGGTCAGTTTTGCAAAATCCCTGGCCCACTTGCGAATCGCGTCCTTGTCATTCGCAAGTGGCGACGGTCCTTGTTGCAGAAGCAAGGGGCTATCGCCGAAATTATATGACGGTTTCTTGGAGCCGTAATAGAACTTGCCAGCATCAGCCGCCCGCGCTGCTTCATCCAGACTATCATACTCACCCAGAGATATTTTGTTGTTTCTTTTGCCTGGAGGATTGAATTCCGCAATCCATTTTAACCGATCCTTACGAAATCTGAAACCCTTCTGTCTCTTCGACGCTTCCTGATCCTTCATGGAATCATACCCAAATCTGACATCGTGAGGCATTTTTGGCACGCGTGTAGTCCACGACTCACAGGTGATCACGTCCAGTTGCAACACTAGCGAGAGTTTGGTATGGTCCGAGAAACTCATATGCAATTTGGAGATATTTCTCTGGAAATAAGCGATCCACTCACTCGCATGCCTTGCGAGCGACATGACAAGAGCCTCCGCTCCGGTATCGAACGGAAAAGGGTTCACCCACTTCACTTCTGGCTTCATATCTATCCTCTCATCCTCACCCAGCGTCGCCTCCTCCTTCCGCACACACTCAAAAACAGCGGGGAAGTAAAACGTGGAAGGGTTTGTGTTGGGGTATCTGTATCCGAGCTTCATGCTGTATTCTTCTATGCATTTGGCTTCCCCCTCCGCTCTCAGTTTATTGAAACATGAAGATCCCTCAACCTGTTCACCCTGCACAAACTTCGTCGGACCGACGACAGACAACACCTGCAAACATTTCCTCTTCACATCTACTCGGTAAGCAAAATCTGGATAGAAAGCGTTGCTGGAGCGGCGAGTGACATTACGAGTTACGCTAGAAAGCAGAGGCGGTCTTCTCAAATCTCGAGTAACCACTTGACATGCCCCCGCTCCCTTGTCCATTCTTATACCTCCGGAAAACTTGCCCCAAAAACCCAAACCCAGCAACAAAACTAGTTAAACTTCACGCTACTTTAATGCATCCCCTCCAAGACCGCCATAGCCACAACTATGGCCCTCATACATCCTACTTTTCAACCCTCAGTCGTCCCACTGCCAGTCCGAACAACATATGTTTCCCACTGACAGCATCCAAAGCACTCTTTTTCTGTTCCTCTTCTCCCGCTAATAAACTATGTTCCTTATAACTGCCGCCATAGCCACAGCCACACTCCCACCAAGCCGCCTCGAATCCACGCTACACTGCAACCTCAACTTCATTACCGACAATTTTTTCTATGCCTCCATCACCAGTCCACACAAATTGACGAGAGCTTTAAGAACTAAATAAGTAAGAATGTTCTCTCCCTAGGTGTCCATGCCTTCTATCCAAGAAGTCATGAGGCAAGAATAATATTCGAAGATTCGTCATGACGTCAGTGAGAAACTCGGAGTTCCATGATCTGGAGAGAGAGAGAGAGAGAAAAAAAGAAACTTCGAAAGACATTGTTGAGCATGAAAGAGGTTTAACTAGAATTGGACCAGCGAAGAAACATTAATGAAGGCAAACTCACCGATGTGCATTGGAGAAGGTGCCCCAATTAGCAACATTCATTTCCGTGCTGTGCAAGTGTACAGTAGCAAACTAGGAAGAAGTCAATGTTCATGTTCGTTTGTATCAAGAAGGCGATTCTGGGCAAAAGCATAGCGACCGACGTTTAGCTTCACGCAGTAGACTGTTCCGGAGAACGCGACTTCACGTGGACACGAGACTTAGCCTGTTCGGTAAACTAAACCACACCCATTCAAACTCTTTGGTAAATTTAAACAGATCACATAGTGTGTAATTTTCGTTCATAAGGACGAGGCTCTTCCACATGAATTAGGTTCTTATTTATATTAAATTCTTGTGTTGTGTACATGAAAACATAACCCAACGGTTTCTCACAGTGCTGCTGCCACCGCTTACAAAGTGATTTGGCAAGTGGGGCTGTGCAGCGGTGTGCTTATCACTTCATTCTTTCCACCCAACTGAAGCAGTAAGTCTTGAAAATTTTGAACCCAGCTGCAATCTCTTTGATAGAATTGGATCATCATGCTCTTGAAATTCGAGTTTCGTTTAGAAAAGCCTCGTGTTCTCGACATGAAACTCTTGCCTGGTCCTTCACATGGCGTGCTCTTATTATGTGGGGCTGGCATAGGTATGGGTTCCATGCTCGGCACGAATGCGCGATTGCAGTCCAGATGAATCACTACCGATTACCCCACGAGCAGTATGATCTGCAACGCCCACCGGAGGCACAATATTTTCCCGCACATTGTAAGCCGCGGCACTCTGCACTCTGGCAGATGCCGAGTCCCTGCCAGTGTCATGTTCCGCCTTGTCTTCTGCGCTTCGCACTTCAGCTGCCATCTGCGGAGTGATTGGAACGCCGTTAATCTCCTTGCTCTGGTATGCTCCTCCGCCGATGTTTTCAATGTTAGGGATGTCATCGGCTGTCAATGGTCCTTTCGTTACGACCAAGCCGGGTTTATAGGATTCCATTTGGAACTTTGGATTCCCGTCCACACTGGTAGAGGTTTGATCGGTCGGAGCATCCCCCGTTTTCTGGGTACTCCCCGGCGCGGCCAGTTTCACACCTTGGTCCAGCTGAATGTCCTGCAATTACAACCAATGAAGAATCAACTTCCGCACTTCACTCTGCAGGGATAACTACCGCTTCTCGAAAACAGATGCAAGCTCATGTGTTTATGAGACACATGTTTATGTATATGTAAATGTGTATTTATGTACATTATTTCCAGTTGTTTAGTACATCGATGCCTGTCGACCGCGAGGATTTTGAAAGTAAATCATGGAGCAATCTCAGCCAGAGGTTTGAGGAGAATAAATGCTGTACAAATGTTCAATTTGGGACATTATTAACTTACCATGTGGACTTTCTCGCCCTGGGGAGTGGCGTAGTTGGTAGTAGAGTTTTGATCAGCATCGAATTTCGTGCCTGCAGAGGTTCCATACGTCATTGGATTGGCCGCTGTAATGCTCGCCTGAGCCGTTCGCTGAACATCTTTCGTTACTGGCTCCACAATTCGATTGGACTCAGCCTGGTTTCCTAAGGTTGCCATCCTGATGATAGTCAAGCACATCACAACCCATATTTACGATGCGGAGACAATAATGAGCCCTAGACATGAGTAGGGAATTAAATTACGAAACTCCCTCTGAAGCAGCTAAATGATAAGATCAAGCTCCAGTACTGCTCAAAGAAAGGGTACGACAATTAAAATGAGACTAGGCTTCCTTACCTGCTAGGACGCTTCACCGCACCGTGCACTTCAGCAAGTCTTCAATATCCAGGCTCAAGTGTAAACTGCAAGGAGCAATTCTACAGCCACACAGAGATCGATGTTCGCTTCTGCAACTTCCTCGAGTAAGAGATCGCTTTAGTGCATGAGAGTCTAGTAATAAAGACGATAGGGCAGTGGAGACTTTGTGCTTGATATATGCCTGCCATGTTGCAGTTGCAGCATGGAGATGGATTGCACATGGCAACAACTGAATGTGACACTTCATGCAAGACCACCACGTTGTGAGCTTTCATCATTGCCAAGAAAGCATGCAGCAGGACAATCGGCAGCCAGAGACATAGCAGTATCGTTGGGTCATGCCTAGCTGGAGAGAATTTAAGGATTCTTGATGTAGAAAATGCTATGAAATATTTGTGTATACATAAGAAATTTGCAGGAGGAATTGCTTTCTTCACAAGCATCGGACACATGTCCATTCTGGAAGCTACGATGCACACTCTGAGTTTAAGAGTGGGGACATAATAACCCAAAGGAATTGTAAAATGGATCCGGGTATTTCGAAAGGAACTTGGAAATATGCAGCATCAGGAATCCACGGAGTCAAAAGATGTTTGACCTTGTCCACTTCGCAGGATAGAGCTGCCACATCAGGCCACAGTCACACCAACGTCCTGTCGCCGGTGTCTGCTCCTTCAAATTTTGCCTTTCAGTCCATTGTTTTGTAACGATAATGCCCTGTGCTCGTGCCGCAAGGAATCGGCGATACTAGAACCCATACCATGCTAGTTGTTCACTTTCAATCCCTGCTTCTTCTGACAGGCTGCTCACTTCGATTGTAACCAAGTCTTCTTCAAGTCTGGAATGGTCGAGTTGGGGAGGATACACACGTTAGAATTGTGATACAACGGAATTGATTGGTAGCGATTGGGCGTGGGAACTGGGTTAGGGGTTGTGAAGCACCAACTTACTTTCTGGAAACACATTTGCGGACCCTGCGTATCACAAGTTTTTAGGAGAGTGTGGTGTCTATGGCAATGAGCACTATATCTGTTGTAATGCGGCTGTCGCGGAAAACTAATTCCCTCGGAATGGTATGCGCTCTTCGCTCCATGGGTTTGAGATTTTCGTCGTTAGCGGATGCTAGCAACGGAAGTGGGGAGCCTCAGGTAACAATCTGAAACCTTAGAGATTTAAAGAGTTCGATGCGGACAATCCAGTTGAATCTCAGTTGATTATCGACGATGAGTATTTCTGCTGTTGTTGTTTATATTTCTCACTCTTCTAGACATCGATTGTGATAAGAGGCTTAGTAATTGCAACCTGATCGGGCTTCAGGATGTGGGGTTTATTGGTCTCGGTAACATGGGGAGTCACATGGCTACGAATCTGCTGAAGGCCGGGCATCGCCTTACCGTTTACGACAGGTATGTTTTCTCTGAACTTGTTCAAGCCAGTGACTGCTCTTCTTGTGGAGTAATTTGGATTTAGGATCTGTAGTTACAAAATGTGCCCTTTGCATTACGCTGTCAATTTTTTAAATTTTTTTTTCGCCTATTCAGATCGGTTATCGTAACACCATTTCTTATTTCGTAACACCATTTTGACACTAATGACAGCATGACTTGTTTGACAATAATCATATCATTCGCTAAAAGATTGGACCAGTGATTTTCTACAGAAATGAGGCAGTGATGCAGACATTTGCAGAACGAGGGGCAACCGTAGCTCACAATCCTCGAGAAGTTGCAGATGCTAGCGACGTTGTCATCACAATGTTGCCCTCTTCACCGCATGTGCACATCCCTCACCTTCTTTATAGGCTTGCAGACGCTTCAATCGCTCTTTCTTATCAATGTCCGGAAGTGTGAAAGTATTAAATTGTGTACATGCAATGAGGCGATAGAATGATATTCCTCTCTGAGAATTTTGAAGAGTTAGCAGTCTAACAGGACCATCGCTGGGACAGAACCCTTTGATATTGAAGCCTAGTTCCAACGATCAGTTTTTACTCGCGTTCTCTGGCAAAGTAGGGCATATTTGGTCTTAACCTAATCTCAATGTTCCTTTGTGATTTGGTTGTGATAGGTGGAGGAGGTTTACACAGGAAAAAATGGAATACTGAGCAATGTTGGTTCAGTGCGGCCGTCGTTACTTATCGACTCATCCACCATCGATCCACACAAATCCCGCCTGCTTGCAACAAAAGTTGCGAAGTGCAAACTGCTGCCGAACTCAAGTACGTAATGGAAGAAAGCTGTTAACCCTAGTGTCAGTAGCATGTTAAAAAATATTTGTTCGTTCGTTCGTTCGCTTCCTTTGTTGCTTTAGTAATTGTTTTTGTGGCTGGATGTCAGTCTGATTCTGAATGCTCATGGCTGCGTGGTTGTAGTTTCTCGCTGATGCAGAGAAGGTAGTAGTAGGGGAGGTGCCAGTTCTGCTAGACGCACCCGTCTCAGGTGGCGTGGTTGGCGCACAAGCTGCAACTCTTACATTCATGGTAAACTTTCCATATTTTGCTTCTCTATCTGAATTCCTTCTCCTCAGCTATAGCACCTGTAAACAAATATCGTAGTCGAGTATTCATTTGACCCGGCTACAATTTAAATTCTACACATCAGGATTAATGCGAGCTGTATTCTGCTGATCTTCTCCCTGAAGTAGTACATATACGGTTTCGCATGCTTAATTAATGTGTTCTTGATTTTCTGTATTTTGAAGATTGGAGGACATCAAGAGGGTTTTCAAGTTGCTGAGCCTCTGCTCCGTGCCATGGGCTCACGAATAGTTTATTGTGGAGGCCCTGGCAATGGTGCTGTAAGTACCATTGTCGAATATTTTCCTCATCAATTTACTCTTCACCCTTTCTAATTGATTGAACATACTACGCAAGCGTCGAAGTTTAGAACGGAATCCAACCTTGTTTTCTGCTCCCACAATAGCTTGTATTCATCTTGAAGTGAGTGCTTCTCCACGTGCAGGCTGCCAAGGTTTGCAACAACTTAGCCTTGGCGATTAGCATGGCCGGGGTTGCGGAAGCACTGGCACTTGGGCAGCAGCTTGGCATTGATGCCCACACACTGTCTAATATATTCAACTCCTCGTCTGCCCGTTGTTGGAGCAGGTAGGCTTTGCATGATCATATATAAACTGCAGAATGTCAATAGCTTGGAATATGATGAAACTGGCGTTGACTCGAATATTTTCGACCTGCAGCGACACATATAATCCGGTACCAGGTGTCATGGCAAATGTGCCTGCCTCCCGTGATTACAAAGGGGGTTTCTCATCCCAGTTGCTGGTAAGATCAGTCTTCCTATTCCCACGCACATTGCAGGGAAATCATTGTTTCTGATAAAAGAATATATCATTTTTTCTTTTACAGTTTTAGTAACAGCGGTCCTTGTATATACCTTCATCTGGATGCGCTGCTTCTGAGTCCCAGAGCAGTTTTTGTTGCTGCATAGATGTTGGCCCAGCATAAGACTTGTTGCACTTGCGGGTGACAGACAAAAGACTTGGGATTGGCGATTGCAGCTGCTGAGGAAGCTGGAGCAGCAGTCCCTTTAGGTGGACAGATACTAGAAATGTAAGTTCATTGGTACTCGCGGTTTTCTATGGAATTTCTAGTGGCTGCTGTTATCGGTCTGCTTTCGGTCGTTCATGTTGCACTTCAATTAACCCACCTGTTTATTATTTAAGTTGGAGTCATTCTACAAAGTTATTTATCTGACGGTATTCACTGTGTAGGTATAAGACCCTTTGCAAAGCTGGGCACAGCACCTTGGATTTTTCAAGCATTTTCCAGTACTATTATAGCGGCAAATCTGAGCAGAATCCAACAGACTGATGATGAGTTGCCGCATGTAGTGGGCTCCCATGAACACGCATGAAGATGCTAGATGACACTCAAGTGTGCGTAGCATCATGTGCAGTGTGAGCCTTTCAGCCCTGAATTATTTGTCTTGTGAAATGATTATATTTTGTACTCATGTTCACGATGATGAAGCAGATCAAGAGCTTGTAAATGCAATAAACATGGAATAAATTACACATGTCTAGAGAAGTTTTTGGCTCTGAAGATATGCACATGAACAACACATGTATTTTATGAGACAAAATTGTGAAAAAAAAAAAAAAAAAAAAAAAAAAAACTCTCAATTAAGTTGCACAACTAAATAGGAATGTTGGACGTTCAGTGGAGTATTTCGTTGATATGGTTGCAGCAGCTTTATATTCCACTCAATTGTACGAAGCAATGGCGCCAGCTACAGTTGTATGAGAGCTGGCTGGATTGAACTGGGTGAAGAAGTGAAATGAAATGACCACAATTATATGCGTTCAATCTGCAACAATAATTTGTCATCTCTCAGGATTAGCAATGTTAATACACTTTTGTGAAAAATTGTTGAAGAGCGTTGACACCTCAGAAAATAACCCTTAAAATAATTAGTTTCTAATCGGCAATTTGTTACAACAGCATGACTTCAATTGTTTATGTATTTAAAGCTGACAATTTTAGAGTCAAATGATAATCAAATAAATATCAAATCATTTTTAAAAGTTTTAGTAGAACAAGATACTGGTTAGTACTTTTAATATTGAATTTTATTGTTTCATGTAAAAAATTCAAACATTTAAACTTTTGAATTTTGTGACATACGTCATTCTACCTAAAAAAAAATAAAAATAAAAAACAAGTCAATGATATGGACTTCAGAACTTTTTATTCCACTCTTCATACATATTTAGAACTTTTTATTATAATTATATACAAAATAAAATTGTGATGGATCTTATGAAAAAAACTTATGATATATTTTTAGTCTAAAAGCTCATATTACAATGAACACACATATATATATATATATATATATAAATATATGTGTGTGTGTTTATATTTCTTTGTATATAATAGAATTTCTTTGAGGGATTGCTGCAGTGCGACATATATGATACACATAGACATAGGTGGAGGTGAGGTATAAAATTTTCATGGTGACCACATGTTGAAGGTGAATGGACACAGTGGCCATAAAGTTGTTAATCTCCTATCAACTCTGCTGTGTGATCAAATGTGAACTAGAAGGATAACACAAATTTATCAATCCTCTTGTCAACTCAACCTTTGAAGTGCAGCCCTTTGGGTTTGAACCAATACAAATTAAATGTAACACTACCTTTGTGCAAGTGCATTTTGTTTATATCAATTTTGCAGTTTGCTATGCTTCAATGGCAGAGACCGAAAACAGTTGCAATGTAAAGAATTTGGGGTCATGTTGTTTGTTTACAATTGACAACATTAGTTGTGTTCCACAAGAACACTGCAATGAGAAAATTTGTGATTAGTTGAGTATTGGTACCTTTTCCTGCTTTGTAGTACTTGGGGCTCATATCATGTTTTTATCTCACATGGTATTGAATCATAAACTAACAATACATAAATAAATAAATATTGATAGAATTATTGATATAATTATTACTACTATTATATTGGATTTCATCAAATAGAAGTAGTGGTAGGGAAAATCAAAAGATTTTATACAAAAATAATTAGATTTCTGATATTTTTTTGATTTTTGATTTTTGATTTCTGACAATTTTGAAAAAACTAATGTACTACTTTTGTCTTACTTCTATCAACTCAAAGCATTATTTCAACTAAAAGACAACTTTAAATTTTGTGTTATTTTTATTCCTCCTGCCAATACAATTGGCTAAATACATTGGTATATGTATATATATATATATATATATATACATGAAGTATATCCAAGCATGGTTAAAAAAATTCCAAATGCATTTTTGTATTTGAACTCTTGTTTTACAATTAAATATAAATAAACTGGTATCTATTGTATGACATGAATTTCTTGACTCTTCTCTAATACATCATGGATTTTTCAAATTTCATATTATTTTTTAAAAAAATTCTTTAAATCATCAATGATTATATATATAATGCTATAGTGATAAATATATATATTTTAGTATATTTTAAAAATAGAATTTATTAATGTAAAAATATTTTTCTAAAATGATTATTAGAATAATTTTTCTATCAACAATAATATCTATTATTTGTTAAAAAATATTTAATTAAAAATAAGAATATTTATTTATTTTACTTATTAATTTGTTTTATTATAAGAGAATTTTAAAAATATTTAAGAAATTTTGATTTTTTGATTTTTTTTGGCCATTATTATTAATTTTCATAAGATTTAAAATTATCCTTATTTTTTATAATCAATTCTTCTAAAATATAGAATGTAATTTTTTTAAAAAATCTTTATTTAGAAATTTATTTTTAAAAATGATATTTTTATACATCTGAAATTTAATTAAATAGATAAATTTAACTAATTGTCATAGACATACATCTTTATGTTAATAAGAAGTGCTAGGTAGAAGGTAGCTATAGGTAGATTTGCTATTATCTTGTGGCAAAGCTTCTTAGAAATTTTATAGATGCATATTTGACTTTATATATGTTTATAGTTGATTAATAGGTTAGAAACTTAGCCAATAAGTTAGCCATGTATTGTATATGTGGATAGCTTATGGTACAAGTTAACAATGTGGCACACATATAGGAAACTTGCCTTGCAAGATGAGACATATATCTTGCAAATTGAACACGTGTTAGAGGCTCTATAGAATGTTGTCACATAGCTCTTAGTTAGATAGTATATATGGAGGCAAGAATAAAGCCTTCTCCATTCTTGTCAATGCCTTTTTAGTCCTTATTCTTGTTTCAAGACTTCTAGTCATTCTAGTTTAATATTATATCATTTTGAATGTTTTTCTAATTTTTTGAGTAACATAAGAATTCATTGATTATTTAATTCTTTGAAATTCATTTCTTTGATAATTTGATGAGTGCTAACTTGTTGTTATTATTTTGTTTTAGAAGTAAGTGGATTATTCTACTTCTATTGTTGTGTTTTAAAGATTGAAGACTATTCATTTTCAAACTAATTTTTAATTTTTTAAGATATATATATGTTAAATTTTAATGAGAGTGGATTATCTTTCTTTGTAGAAATTTTCATTTGGTATTAGAGGTTACAAATTACCCTCCTCTATTTGACTTATGAGTTTATTTGAGCCATCTATAGAAGGAAGAATCATGGATGCTATTTGTAATAAAAATGAGAATAGATTTGTAATTTCTATAAATTTTCACAAGTTTTTTAATACTTTTAGGATTGAAATCTCAGATATTTCTAATACAAACCATGGAAGTACTATTCCTATACATGTAGAAGAAGTCAACAATGAAATTCAGATTCTATACTAAGAAATTTTGTAATTAAAAGAAACAAGTAGATAAAATTTATAATTGAATGCAAAAAACTTTATTTCTATAAGTATAAAAGAGACAAGGATAAGTATGTTGGAGAAGTTTGACAGAACATGATTAAAGTTTGAAGATTTTTACAATAAATAAAATTCTTTCTAAGGTTGTATCTTTCTCAATATTCTAATGGATTTATTCAAGTCAGATTTATAGGTGCACTCCTATCCAAGAGTGCTTTCTCTTGATTTGTACCTTTAATGGAAAAGAATTCACACTTCTTTTATGATTTGAATTTATTCTTAGAAGTATTTACGACCACGTTTGGAGAAAGTGTTTGAAAAAAGGTAGCAAAGACCAAACTTCTATCTTTATGATAAAGTTCACATTATCATGTAGTAACACAATTATATGGTAAAAAATAAAAATATGGATGTTATTATAAAAGAGTCTAGTAGAAAGATGTAGTTGTCAAGGACAAGAACTCGATGAAAAAGCAATTCAAACAAGTGAGCCTTTATTCAAAGAAAGGTAACAAAATATTAATAAATAAGTATGTATATTGAAAGAGAAACTGGAATGTCTATTGCCAAAAGACAAGAAAACTAGAGATCCTTGAAACTAGATTGGAAGCAAGAAAGGAGTTGACAAGAGTGAAGAAGGCTTCACTCTTGTCTCTATATATATTATCTAACTATGGACTATGTCGCGACGTTCTATAAGACCTCCAATAAGTGTTGACTTTGTAGGACACATGCCTTGACTTACAAGATAATTTTTCTACGTGTGGGCCACATTGTTAGCTTGATCATCAAGCTAACAACATGTGTGGCACATGGCCAACTTGTTGACTACGTTTTTAATCCAAAAAGTCAATTAAAGACACCTATAAAGTCAAAGTAGCATCTATAAAGCTTCTAAGAAGCTTCCATACCAAATACTATAGAACTAACTTACTTTTATCTACTTTTATTTACTTCTATCTATTTATATATGTAATTATTGGCTTACATGAGTATGTCTATGTCATTACCTCCCTTTCTCGGGACGAGTTCCATGAGGAGCGGTCATCATATGTTTAGGAAATCTTTGATGTGATGAATTATATTCGCTACATACTTTGATCTTTGTTCTCTTCGAAGATGATTGATAGGGCCTCTCAACCATTGGTAGTGTCCCATACTAGGGCGGAAAGACCACCCTGTTATTTGATCATTGTTGAGGCCTTCATAACTTCCTTTGAATAGGACATTTGGAACACCATCACGAGTTATTCCTACCTCTAGTAAAATCACCAAATATCGGGAGTTCCTTCCCAAGTTGTAATAGCAAACGCGTTGTATCTCGCCATCTATTCGAGGAAGAATATGTCGTTCTTGAAGATCTTCATCTCGATTGCATCGTCTTAAAGATTGTGACAATCATAATGTCTCGTCCGGTAGGTCAATAAATGAAGGCTCTTGAGTCGAATCCGTTGGTTGTTGGTTCTCCATCTCCAGAGCATCACAACTACAAAGAAGCTATAAACAAGCATTGAAAGTAGAATGTTATCTTACCTAGATGTTGTTTCTTTTATAAAGAAGGTTTTCATCTTGATTTTAATGGATGTCGTCGATGAAAAGCCTCCACTGCCTTTGTTGCATTTACAAGATTCTTTACTAGCTCCCATATGTGTTCACTAATATCATATCTGTGCGAATGGACAAGATATTCTAATTTATTTTGGTGCCACCTTGAATCTAAGACTTCTTCCACTTCAAACTCTTCATTATTGTCCACTT